AGCCCTCATCTGCAGAGGTCCCGGGCTGCCCAGTGGCAGTGACCGGCTGTGCCTGAGGGACTTCAGCCTGCACATGGCGCCAGACTGTGGGGGTGGGGACCTGACAGATTTCCTCTGCATTTTCTCATCTGAGGAAAACATGTTGTCCCGACCCACCGTCCACCCGTCCACCCGTCCATCCATCCATCGGGCTATTTTTAGCTCCTGATTCATGTCCTGTTCAGCAGGGATAATAGGCATCACCATGGTAACCTGGCTACAATTCTGGAAGGGCTGATGTTGGTCTTTTTGCAACATTGAAGACATCAGAGGAACACACTCTGTCCATGCTGGGCAACAGGACTCTCAGGTGGTAGAGGTCAGCCCGATTCTGGCCCGGTACCCATGGGTTCTGCCTAGAGAGTCCTGATGGCCTGTGGCATGTCGTGAAGCCTGGTGGACAGGGCAGCAGACCATGTGGGCGCTGAGAAGGGGACGAGGGTCTGGTGCCCTGGGCAGCAGTGAGGGCTCGGTCACCTGGTGCCCTGAGAACCTGGCCCAGAAGGGCACGCCCACTCCCTTCTCAGACAGGAGCTGGCAGTCAGGAGGCATGGAGCGTGAGGTTTCCACTGCGTGTCACGCCTCGCTCCAAGGGGCTCCAAGGGGCCTCAGACTCCCGAGGGTGCCGGCTAGACAGGCCCCGCCCCTGATCGCCAGCACCCGTCCTGACCAGCTGCAGCCCTTCCTGCTCAGGAAGGCCTGGAGGTCTGGAACCTGGATATGGGTTTCCCAATGAGCAGCACTGGCAAAAGTGAGCACAGTCCCTCTCAGAGGTGGGTTTGGGCCTGGGATGCCTTGCCAGGTGCCCCGATGGTCAGCACTGAGCACCAGCAGTCACCTGGTCTGTTATGTCCAAGCCTGTTCCTGCTGCTGCGCTCTGTGCCTGGCAAGACGCAAGCGAGGTGCGAGCTAAGGAGGCAGCTGGGGCAGCCTTTCCCGGAGCCACGGGCTTCATGGCCACACTCGGGGCTGCCCCAGGAACCCATTTCAGAAGAGGGAAAGGCTGCTCTTGTCCCTTTCACTCACCCCCCAGCTCCCCAGAGCCCCGCTGGCCTCCGAGGCCACTCCGGCACGGCATGGAAGGAGTGGGTGGGGCGGCAGGCAGCCCTTCTTGCCGGGCTGTGCTGCGGGAGGAAGAGCTGTGACTAAGCGGGGTAATTGGTGCGGGGGCGTGGGGCTGTCAGACGGCTCAGCGGCTGCCACACAGGGCAGGAACAAAAGCTGCTTCCCGCCACCCGCCCCCACGCGCCATTAACAGGTGGCACCCAGACCTCTGCTGCAGGCCTCCTTCTGCCGGAGGAGACCCCGACAGTCGTGGCTCCAGGGTCACTGCCTTGACCCAGCGAGGACCCCATGTCACAGGAGGATGCCTGGCCTGGGCAGCACAGCAGGGACCTGAACTGGCCTCGCTCCCTGCCCCCAAGCCCTGAGCTGGGGCCTGTGTGCACACATTAGTTGCATGTGTGTGCGTGAGTATGAGTGTGCACACACATGCGAGGATGATCACGGGGAGGGCTTTGTCCACCCTGCTCACTAAAGCCTCCTCGCAGGCCCTCCCAAGGGAGGCAGCTGTGTGCGTTTTATCCTCACAGACTTGGAGTGGCACACAGGCCAGGAGAGTCTGGGTGTCCCAGGAACCCCGAGGTGCAGCCAGCCCTGGGACTCAGACCTGGTGACCAATCACTCCTCTGCCATGGTGGAATCTGGGGCATTGCCCAGCTGTGTGGGCGCCTGGGCAGCTACAGCCTTCCAAGCCCACTCCCTGGCCAGCAGGTGAAGCAGACACCAAGAAGCTCTGGAGTCTTCAGCAGGGTGTGTGTGTGTGCATGCGTGTGTGTGTGTGTGTGTCCGTGTGTGTCCGTGTGTGTCCAGTGTGGACATAGTGTGGGTGACCTGAGAGCTGGCTTGGCTGGGCAAGGGACCATGGCGACGTCCCCACCCGCTACTTCTGTGGCTGCTTGATGTTCCTGCCTCACTGTCACCCTGAGATTAACACAGGTTCAGCCCTTGGGGTCGGTGGGACTGGGCTCGGCCCCTGACCCAGGCTCTCCTGCCTCGCTGCACCCATCCCTCCAGAGCTGCTCTCAGCCCCAGAAGACTGGCAACTTGTGGCCCTGGGGACAGCGTCCTCTGAGAAGAGTGCAGATGCACGTGGCTGGGCAAGGACACTTCGTTCTCGGCACCATGCCCAGCCAGCCTTGACACCACTCTGGCCAGCCTTGGCACTACAACAGGCAGGAGGCAGTGTGCGGGGAGGATTTCCCCACCCATCCTGTGCAGAGCAGAAGCTGCGGCCGTCAGTGTGAGTGTGGCCTTGGCCTGGACCTTTCCCACCTCCGAAGCTGCCCCTGCCTGCACACGGTGCTGTCTAGAGGGTCCACTCACTTCCTGAAGTCTCCCTGAGGCCACGTGTGTGCATGTGTGCACAGTCCATGTGTGTGTGCATGTATGTGCACACCTGTGTGCACATAGGAGGCACTTTTCCAGATTTGCCAGAAGCAGGAGGCAGCCACAGGGACAGGAGGTGGTGGGAAACCCTCTCAAGGGACACACAGAAGGGTGGACACAGGGACGGGTGGAAGGTGCTGAGATTTGAGGTACACAGAGGAGGAAACCCTGCGGCTCTGCTGGGCTGGGCCAGGAAATTTGCACACAGGTGTCTGCTTCGGTGGGGGGCTTTACTCGTGTGTGTGCATGGTCCAGAGTCACAGCTCTCGGGGTCCGGGTTCTTCAGCCCAGGGCCTGGGGAGCCTCCTCCCACAACTGCAGCCCAGCCCAGTGCTGCTGCTCTGCCCTGCTCTTCTCCCTACTCCAGTGGAGCCTGTGGTCTCTTCTTGGCCCTGCCAGCCTGTCCAGCTTGGCATCGAGTGCCAGCCCTGATTAAGGGTGTCTGGCCCGTGGGTGCCCAGCTTCCACCCTGGGCACCCCCTTCCTGTGGGCTATGGCCAGGGTTGACACAGGGTGGTGTGGGCACTGTCTCAGCCTCCTGAGGCCACAGCTCTTCATCCTTGAGGGACTATGGGGTGCGACTACCAGCTCAGGGACCTGGGCTCATGCTGGCTCCCCATTTCCTTGCCACCATGTGCCTCAGTTTCCCATCTTGGGATGGGTACACTGACCTGCAGGGTCATCTGTCCTGTGCATTGTTACAGGCCCTGCCGGGCAGAAAGCAAAGCCCCTCCCCAGAAACAGGCAAGGCCAGGGATCAGGTCCCAGAGGCTCTGTGGGGTCTGAGTCCAAGGAGAAACAAGTGTCATGGAGGCCCATGGACTAACAGTGGAGGGTTCTTACTGAAAACCTTTGCCCTAAAACAGACAGTGTGGATCGAGCTGCGCCTGAAGCCATGTGGACCAGTCCCCACTTTTGGCATAAGACAGCGTGGCACAACTCACTGCCAGTGACACCAGAGTCTCTTGAATGCCAGCCAGTGGGCAGGGCCAGGAGGGGCTCAGTGGCCTTGGCTCTGTTCCA